AAAAAAAAAAAAAAATAATCCAGGTATACTTATATTTAATTTATCAATGACGCGTGTAAAATTTGAACATCTGAATAATATAAAAAGTACATTTGTTGGATGGGGAGGGATGAGGTGTGAGTGGGGGTGGGGTGGAAGGAGGGGTTGGATTAAATGACAAAATGGAAAAGAATACTACAATTGAGATTAAATACAAATTTTAATATCTTAAATAATGATCCTAACGGATTTTGGATATTACTTTTTACGACATAAGAAAGAAGATAATGTCAACAATGCGACAAACATATGGTCGGAGATAGCATAATGATTTGGGTCGATATCAATTATTATTATTTCAAAAAATAATATCAAAATAATATAATCAGATAGTATACAAAGTTATTTAATATATATATATAAACGGAATAATAATGAATAATAGTGTTCTCTTACTACGTAAATTTAATTAAAGGTGAGATAAACAATCATTAAAGAATGTATTTCTTAAACACGATTTTATTTTTCAGCTAGATAATGTAGCAATGTATGCATTGAGATTAGTATAATCGTAAAAAAAAAAAAAAGAAAAAAAAAAAGTAATATCTTCAGTTAAATACATCAGGTTTTGTCATGGTCTGCACGTGTCTCAAACTTTAATATTTTTCAAAATTCTTCTAACATAATTTTTGTTCGCGAAGTATATAATAATAATAATAATAATAATAATAATAAGTAATATGAACATTGTAGAACAATATATATAGCTTTTAAATCAAAATAATATTCAAAATTTATATAAAAATCGATATAAAATCGCTTAATAGAATTAATTGAAAACACAATAGGAGTGAGGAGGGCTGAGGAGGGGGGAATGAATGTTGTATCCATTATTAAATAAAAAAAAATAAATGTGCGATAAATAATTAATTTTTAAGAGAACAATATATATTATGTTGATTATTATTTAATTATTTTACATATACTTATATCATTTTGTTCTCATAGAATGAAATAATTTCTTTTTTTTTTTGATTATCTTCACAAAATCTTATGATATTGTAATTTATTTTCAACAACGAGTCCCATATGCTAGGGGGTCAATGTTTTGATATTTTTTATTTGAAACGTAAAAATTTGCATGGGTCATTGAGAAATATAAAAGATAGTACACTCGAGTTATCTTTTTGAGGAGAAGTGTATATGATTATTATCATATTTCATTGTTAATAAATCAATAATAGTATTATAGATGTGTTAATATAAAAGGTTTTTTTTTAAGAAATATCAGAAATTAGATTTTCTATATGTAATAAGATAAACTTCTATTACTTATCGTAACTAGATAATCAATTATTGATCAAACGCGAAGAATAACAAGTTCTTTTACTCTTTCTCTTGTTTCCTTCTTTTTTAAATCGATGTAACAGATTACACTTACGTCAGAGTGCAATAGAAAAAATAAAAAACGTCAATATGAGTAGCAATGTATGATAATTCCCTTGTAATATTTCCTTCTAAGTATTTACAGATATATAAAACTCATTTTTAAAACAACAAGTACAACCGATTACGAGTAGTCTGCATTCTTAACATTTTTCTATAGCACTATTCAATAGAATGATTTATCATTCGATCATAATCGGCTAATCTTGAAATCAATAATACTTGCAAAATTAGAAATATTTTTATTATTCTTATTAGAAAAATATCTAGTTCTATTTACTTTTCTTTTCTTTCAAATTATAAAAATGATGATTAATATCTCTGAAACATCCTCCTATACGAGATACTTGAGAATAATTTCCCCTAATTATATCATAAATCATTCTAAACGTCATGTGTATTATTATTTACTATTCTTTTTTCTTCTTCTTTTTTTTTTTTCTTTTTTTGTGACGACGTTGTTCACTTTTACAAATCCATTTATAAAATAAATCACTTGCTATCTATGAGATCGAGATAACATTGTCTAACATTTTATGTATATAGGTATGCGAGTATTATAGAAAAAGAAGGAAAATAAAAGAAAAAAAATAATCCATCCAAGTTGTATAAAAGATTAAAATCGTATTATGCATGACGTTTGAATATTTCTTTGATTACAGCCCTCGTTGGATGTAGGCACGTACAGGTACTATTCCTGGCCTTCGGTTTCTTCTGCTGTTATGCTGTCAGGGTTACTATGTCCGTGACCTTGGAAGCTATGACCAATTCTACCAAAGCTAATACAGAATTCGAGGTACGTAATTTTCTCTCTCTCTCTCTCTCTCATACTTTTTTCAAGTTCAAATTATCCATGATTAGAATGAATTTTGTTGGTGCTTTTATAGGAATTCCATTGGGATCAGACTACCAAGGACACCATACTCAGTTCATTCTTTTGGGGATACATATGTACTCAAGTACTTGGTAACATCATTGCCCAACGTTGGGGAGCCCAAAAAGTATTGTCTTGTTCTGTTATCATTAACGGATTATTGACACTTTCCGTTCATGCTGCTGCCCATTACGGAGGTTGGGAAGCTGTTTGCGGTACCAGAATTGTTGCTGGCTTTTTCCAAGGTACGGTCATGCCGACCATGCACATGCTCTTGTCTAAATGGTCACCGAGCGAAGAAAGAGGAAGATTAGGTCAGTTTTCATGCTGTTTTATTTAATTTGTTGTTATTGTCCTAATTATTTTTCCTTTTTTTTTTTATTTTTTTTTTTTGAGATGATAATCGAGTAAGTTAGAGAAATATCGTTTAATAATTATTATTTTAGTTGCATTTGTTTATACCGGTGGTTTGATCGGTAATGTTGCCTCTCTACTAAGTTCCGGATTCCTTTCTGCTTCTGTTCTTGGCTGGCCAAGTTGCTTTTACTTTTGGGGCATTACAAGCTTGACAGCTGGTATTTGTATTTTGATTTTTGTCAAGGAATCACCCGCTGATCATCCAAATATTCCTTTTGATGAAAGACAATTCATCGAAGTTAGTTTAGGTGTTACCGAAACCGATGAGGTAACAATCGATAGTTCACAATAACATTTTCTTTTTCTAAAATTGATTTACATAATTATTTATCTATTTATAGAAATTACCTACTCCTTGGATCGCTATATTAACGTCTGTACCTGTTTGGGCTCTTCTTATTACACAAGCCGTTCAAAATTGGGGATTCTGGATGTTGTTAACTAAAATGCCTTCTTATATGAATTCAGCTCTCGGTTATGATATACAACAGGTAAGTTCAACTCTTAAAGTTCAATAAAACGAGTTAAATTGAACAGCGTATGACCTTGATCATTTATTTAAAACGCAATCGTATAGAAAGAATTTTAATTAAAATCATTTACATTTCTTAACCACTCGTAAATACGTAAATAACAAATCGAATTAATATGCGAGAGAGTGTTTGCTTGAATCAATGCCAATATATACCAGCAATACCTTGCGAATGGTACGTTAATCGAATGTAACTATCCCCATTAATGAATTCTTTGACTTGCGGTTACTGTCGGTCAAGATCAATTACGATACAACTTAAGAATATCAATGACCGGTGTCGTTTGTAAATATCATTCACCGACCACAACGTTGTACCAAACGAATAAAACATTTGTTTTTCTTTTCTCAGAATGGATTGATGACGGCATTGCCATATTTGACAGCATGGATTCTTAGTTCACCGATCAGTTATATTTCTGATATGTGTATCAGAAAAAATATTGTCAGCTTGGAGGCATCCAGAAAAATATGTAACACCATAGGACAATGGATTCCTGCTGTCGCACTAATTTCCTTGGGTTACATCAATAAGGAACAACCTGAAATTGCAGAAGGAATTTTGATTATTACCGTTGGCATTAACGTTGCCATATATTGCGGCCACAACATTAATCATATGGATCTCAGTCCTAATTTTGCAGGCGCATTGATGGCCTTTACTAATACTACCGCTAACATTTGTGCTATTTTAGCTCCTATCATAAGCGGTATAATCATTCCAGATCCGGTCAGTAATTTAATCTTTCATTATTGTTTATTTTATTCTGTTCTATTGTATATTGTATTTTATTAATATCTTTTTCTCATTCCATTAACAGTCTAATATTCTTCAATGGAGAAGTATATTCTTCCTCACAGCCGGTCTTTATATAGTAGGAAATCTTATTTTCATATTATTTGGTAAAGGTACGGTACAAAAGTGGAATGATCCAGTAATCAAGAAAAAAGAATCTTCGGTGTATCAAATAGAAGTAGTAATGGAAGCTAATGATTCTGAAATACAAAAAGCTAATAATGAAAAAATACCATGACAAATATATATATATATATATATATACGTATATTAATTTAATTAAATAGAATAAAACGATTCTATTGTAAAATATATTTCTAATGTAAAAACGTACTTTTGTAAGTATATTTATATGACGTAATTTAATATTTATTAAAGTTTTATTTTTTAAAAAAATATTTATATTCTTTTATGATCTTCCATTTAGCAAAAACACGAAACGTAAATTAATTCTCTTTTAAGCGTTCTCTAATTGTTGGTGTCCATATTGTATTCATTATAAAAACAGTTCCTATAATAGTTGTTGTTAATGTAATGTAAGTGATATAAGAGAAAAGAGATACGTTTCCTATAGGTATTGTCCATATATAATCAATCTCATCCTGTTAACATAAACAATTTAAATGGATTATTAATAAAGACTTTTTAAATTTGTTATTTTCAGATTAATCGATATCTTACACTAGCGTATGGTAATTCTCTCCATTTTACCACCATACCAGCGCACAATGGACATAGATTTATTTTAGATATTCTATACTCTCTGATTCTTTGTTTACAACCTAGAAGTAAACTAGGTTTTTCTAAAACTACATTCTCATAATCACCGTTCTCCTTAGGATATTGATATCGTTGATGAATCGGTAAAGACATGACACATGAACCATCATCGATACGACTACAAAGAGTAACATTTTGAGAGTTTGCGTTCTCCATAAATAATTCTGTATCCGTTTCTCCAACGGAGCATACTGTAGTCTACAAGTTTTAAGATCGGTAAGATATATATTATTTAAAAAGTTGATAAAAAGAACATAAAAAACAGAATTAATTACTTTATCGCTTCTCCTGAGTTCTGCCAACTCATTAATGTTTACGTAAAGAGCAGAAGGTAGTAGAAAATGCAAAGACGCATAACAATCCTTCCAAATCAAATTGTCCACATCAATGCGATATGTAAAAATCCTATAAAGAAGAATTTGATGAAGGATTAAGTTTGATAGACAAATGTATGTATATATATATACTTTTTAAGATTATAATTTCTAACCTATGAAAACCAGAACCATCAACCTGTAATCCAACATGTGCAGTTATGTCACCAGACACCGAAACATATTGAAATAATAACAAAATGCATATGACAATCCTTAAATGATACCACATTTTATCGAAAATAACTTTTTATTATTTATATTTTATTCCAAAAGTTTTTAAATATTAAATCACATGTGATAACAAGCACAAGAAACGTGCGAGCTTCATTATAAGTCTGAAAGATTGTAGATGGCATTAGAGAGAGAGAGAGAAAGATAGATACAAAATTTTAAAAATTAAAATTGAAAATTTAATTGTTCAAGGAACAGAGTGTTAAAATATTTGATTCTATTGTTTATTCAATTAAATTTGATTATTAATTGCAAGTAGTTAATAATAATTCATCATATATACAAATTATTTACAAGGGTTGATAATCAACATGATTTTTATATAACATTGTATCAAATTTATAAATTAAAAGAAGATAATAATAAACATATGAGTAAGTATATATATATATATATACTGTGGGTTATATAGGGTTATATAGGGTGAGTTATATAGGGTGTGAATCTAGAATATACCCACATCTAGAATTACCCCAAGTATCCCCTGTTTATCTTAAAAGCTGACTCTAAAAGGGGGTTGAACGTTGGCCGACCTTGTAAAAATTCATTTGTTAAGAAAATATCAGGAAGAAAAGCCGTAATAGCTGAGGATAAAAATAAAGAAGAAAATGTTCGAAATGAAATAAACGAATAATAATAAAAAAAAAATGATAAAAATAAATATAAAATATTCTTCATTCAATTATGAATGATGCAACGTATGACGTCAGACAATTTTGCAAATGGCGGAGAAGTAATAAAATGAATAATGTGACGTTAATGTGCATTTGAATGTGCATAATTTGTAACGTAGTATAAAAAATAGAATGAGATCGAATAGAAACTGGGATAAATGAGACAGAGAGAAGTAGAAAAAAATAAGAATGAGAGAGATAGAGAGAGAGAGAAAGATGGAGATAGAACGAACTGGTTAAAGTCTCGACGTAGAGCTTCTATATTGTCGCTAGGAAACGAAAATAGCTCCTGTCAGGCCCCCAGAAGGTACAGAAAAGAGGTGTAGGCAAAGCAATAGCAAGACAAGACAAGACAAGACAAGACAAGATAATACAAGACAAGGTACAGGGTGTATCCTGAAGAACAAGGAAGAATTGAATGAAATGAAATAAGAGGGTAGTCTTTTTGTTAATGTTAAAATTTATGTCGATTACATGGACAGAATATTATCTCTTACGTAACATTTAAATATCGTTTTTAAATTATATTGATATATTTTAAAAATGAGAATTTATATTTTCAATAATATTTTGTATATTTTCTTTTTTTTAAATTGTGTAATACGTTTATTAATGATTTATTGAGAGATTTGATTGATCAGATAAAATGAAACGTTGTTAATACGTTTAGAAATAATCGTTAAGTTTGACTTTTTCTTTTTCTTGGTTTAATAAGCTTTATGTTACCAAGTACCTGGAAAAGAAAGAAAGAAAGAAAGGAAAAAAAAAAAAGAGAAAGAAAGAGAAAGAGAGGGAAGAAGTTTTACATCCGCGATCCTCGACTTCTTTGTAGGATTTCTAGTCGTGCCAAGTCTGCTTGCCCAGGCATTCTTTGGCTCGGTTAAGAATTCCCATTATTATTGCCGGTACAGCAAGAGAGAGAGAGAGAGAAAGAGAGAAAGAGATCTTTGTAAAATGACTAACAATTTTCTATAGAAATATTTATTTAATCGATACAATTTAATTTCAAGATAAGATTAATAAGTCCGAGAGTTATCGTTATCTTTCTTTTTAAAAAAGAATACAATTGAGATTTGTTTTTATTGTTCCAATCAATGAACAATTATAAGATAATCTTTTATAAAAGACACATTTAATTATTATTATTATCATCACAATCACATTTAATGAATTTGTTCATTGTTTTAAATCATATACGATTTGATATTAAGATAATATAATATTAAGTATACAATTGATTTATCATAGAATTATAATCATAAAAGAGAATAGTGTTCATATAATATATTAATTATAAAATTTACATTTAAAAGAGAAACAAACATAAAGAGAGAGAGAGAGAGAAAAAGAAAATTAACAAAAAAAGAAACATTTGCAATACTTTACTTTAATAATAATAATAATAATAAAATACAAAGTAGAACTTGGAATAGTTGCACCAAATCCAATATTAAAATATATGAAATTAGAGTCGAGCAGAGTCACGAATTATTATGAATTATTTTTGAATATCGTGACAGAAAAAGAGAGAGAGAGAGAGAGAATGAATAAGTGTATGCGTATATATATATATATATATATTTATATTCGGTGCTGTGTGTGTGTGCGTGTGCGAGAAAGACCGAAAGAGAAGGGGTAGGAAAGAAAAATAGGGGGAGACAATAAGGGACGTTCCCATATTACGGTATCTCGTTCGTAATAGTCGGAGAGCGCCAAATTCGAATCGAACGGGGATGACTCAAGCCTCAAGGCTCTGTTAAGTCCACCTCGTCGGCTTCGTTCGGCCGAAGTTTGGCCCGGTTTATCTCCGGCTGATCCAGAAATAATCTTAGATTCGGTCTCCTCTCCTACTCTTACTCCTGTGGATGATCATCTCCATCGTTCGAAATCCACCGAGAAGAGTTCTCCCTTCTTCTTCTTCTTCTTCTTTTTTCTTTTCTTTTCTTGCGTTATCGTTTCCCTCCCCTGTACCCTGTTCCCCTACTCATCAACTCTTAGCTCCCTCCCTTACCACTTTCCATCATCTTTTTCTTTACATTAACTTCCAAACGAATAATAACAAGATACGCTAATAATCCCGCTGCGGTATAAACATTTATATTTTGTTTGGAATATTTTTCGACATACGAGAATCTCGATTTTTTGTTCTTTTTATTTTTGTTTCATTCGTTTAAAAACACGATAGTTGTAGATTTAGGGATCTCAGCCAATTTGACTCATTAAACATTTGGTTACTGTATATATATATATATATAAAATTTAAATGTTATTTTTTAAAAACAACATTAATTACGTAATGAAATATATACGTAAATATTAATTCATTGTCTTTACTCGACCTACCCCCTTCATTTAAACGATGTTTGTAAATTATTTTAACAAAATAACGAACAAACTATCCGTAAATTTATTGCTAACATTTTGTTCTTTTCTTTTTTATTGTTTTAATTTTTATCTAATTATTTTTATATCTAATTTTTATGTCATCTTATTTTTTTGAATATTTTCCCCTTGAAATTTTTCAATAGATATACATACGATTAACAGATACACATGAACAACGTTAAGTTAAATTACATACATTGATTTCTTAGACTTTAAATTCAATCTCTTTTTAAAGTCGAATGTTTTTCTCCTTTATCTACTTCGAAAATGAAGTTTTTCAAATGAAATTATTAATAATATAAATATGATAACGATATATATATAAAAAAAACTGCATTTATATAAGAAGGAAGAAAATATTAAGTGTAGACAATTACACTTCGTTCCTTCGATATTATAAATTTATTCCATCAAAATCGGATGACATTTTGTTTTTTTCGTCAAGAAATTCTACAAATTGCTCAAGAAAGATGGGTCAAAGTGATCGGGAATAATAATCGAAAGAAAAAAAACAAAAATAACATAAGTACGATTGATTGCATAAATGTTGAGTAATACATTTTGTTCTTTATAAAAAGAAAAAACATCCCTCACCCCTTCCCCCCCACCCCGAATTAATTTCTACTCGTAATATAGGTTTCGTATATTTAATTTATCCCAAATTGCAGATCAAATTAATCCCAATTCTTATCTTGCAATTTGTTTTGCAAAAAGTCATGAATTTCGTTTGAAAAAAAGAAGAAAGTTAAACAAATAAAGTTTTCTTCAACGATTTGACAAAGGAAAAGAAAAAAAAAGTTTAAAAAAATTCAGACGCAACTTAATATTTTTTTTCTTATCAAATACAGTACCCATGAATTTGTATTCGCGTTATATCTTAATTAAAACAGTCCCAAAATATATTTCATTTCTTTTACTACATTCTCATGCGCACTATTATATATTTATACTTAAAAAAATGACATATATCATATATATGTTTTTATTCTAACCTCAAAAACGAGTAAGGAGAACCTAAGTACCCATATATATTATGAATTTGTATTCGCGTT